TGTGAGATTGTTTGGAGTAGGGGAACACGGATGGATTATTAGATACCTATTGCTGGGTTAACCCCCAAATTTAGGTGTTTGAATCAGTAAACATTTATTGAATTATAAAAAGGCATTAACCCAAGTTTAGGAGCTTACAACAAACATTTGTTGTCTCTCTGCCAATTTCTTTGGGTCAGGAGTTTGGGAGCAGCTCAGCTCCGGGTTGTTTGAGGTCCAGTCTGATTGTTGACCAAAGCTGCTGTCCTTTCATGGGAGACTAGAGCCGGAGGGATGCCTTCCACGGCGGCTCGCTCGCATGGTGGTCAGTCGGTTTGTGGGAGGCCTTGTTGCTTCTCGACAGCTTTCCCCAGTGGGAGAGAGCACGGGGAAACTGAAAGGCCTGTGTTTATTGTGTTTTTTGGTGAAAGTTTTCAAGTTTCTCCACAGATTGTTCACGACATTGGTTCCGTTCTTCATGAGGCGTGAGCATTACTTTGGTTCTGGCTCATTTCCGTTCGTCGTTTTCTTACCCCCTACATTCTCATCTGTGTTTTGAACACGTGGTGGACTGTTTTGCGAGACTTTTCACGGACGCCGCCTGTCACTTCTGTAGTATTCGCTTTCTCAGCAGTGATTCGGGATGCCCAGGGAAGCCTTGTGAAGAAAGGGGAATATCTTGGAAGTATGAAGGTGTCCTATCTCAGTTGTCTGCCCTGGAGTCACTGCCGTGGGCCGTAGGGAGAGGCGGGTGACTGGGTAGTAACAACAGCCCCTGAGATGAGCCCTTGGAAACCATCTAGTTCAGCAAGGAGCCCTGGGCAGCACAGTGGCTGTGTGGTCAGCTGCTAGCAGAAAGGTTGACAATTGGTACCCACCCAGCGGCTCCCCAGGAGAAAGATGGCTGATTTGCTCCTATAAGGAGGACAGTTCTCCTCTGTCCCGTGGGGTCACTGTGAGTGGGAATTGGCTTCACAGCACCCAACAAACAGGCCAGAGCTGAGGGACCCTTGGAGTAATGATGTCAGTTTTAGGGACCTGTGGGAACTGGGCGGGTGAGCAAGAGAGGGCAGGGAGATGAAGTGGCGACTCCTGGGAACGCAGCAGACCTCCATACCCCCAGCCCAGGCTGTTGTGGAGAATGTGAGCCCGTACCTCAACTTTGTTCCCGTAAGAGAAACCTCAAGTGTGGATCCTCTTAGTGTGAAGTGGCCGTGTTGAAAGCACTATGGCGGCAGCCAAAGAGGGTGTTGTGCGTGTTTTGGCCGCTAGAGGGCACACTGTGCTTTCTGTGGACTCAGGCGTGACCGAGGCTGGGAGCACTCAGGCAGCTGGTCTGGGGTCAGTCACAAAGCCCTGGGGAGAGGGAGAGGTGCTTTCTGCTCCCCTTCCATCTACTGCAGCACCTCCTGCCTTGGACGGGCCACAGCTTAGGACCTGGGGGCCAGTAGGGATGTGTGTGTGCTTTCAAAGAAGTTCTTGATGTGAAACAGGTAAAGAAACAAATCTAAAAGGTAGTTTATCTCCCTGGACTTCCTCGGGACAGTTTGAAAACCAGTGGGAGAAAGGAACTAGGTGGTTCACATGTCCATCGTACTCACTCACTCACCTGGGTTTCTCTCCCCAGAGATCACTCAGACACCTGACCGCCCGCTCATTATACCCACCCATCGTCCATCCATCACTCTGCCCTCTCACCTATTATTTCGTGTGTCCACCACACCATCGCACCCAGCCTGTGTCTCACTCAGACATCTGCCTGCCTTCTTAGACATCTTGCCACCTCCATCCATTCCGTCGGGTCAATCATTCAGCACTCTTCTCTCCCTACTCATGTTTCATTAGTCAGTGGTACCTACTCACCCATTCATGTGTCTCACCAGATTCCCACTCAGTTACGTGCCTGCCCAGCCATCGTAACATCCATCCTGTGTACCTGCACCCATGTCTACCTGTGACCCACTTGCATACAGTACCACTAACCCTCCATGCAGCAACTACCCATCCATGTTGCATTCATCCATCATTGTACCTCCCAACCATCTAATCATGTGCCCATCACACCTGCCCACCTACCCATGTGTCTACAGAGAGTCCCACTCAGACACCGACCCACGCACTTGTCCATCCACCCAGCTGTACATGTGCCCTGCCATTCGTCCATCTCTCTCCCTTTCTGCAGACCCCGTCTTCCCACTCATGTATCCATCCGTCCATCCATCCATCTCTCCCATCCTGCAGATCGAATCCTCTCCTCACTCACCCCTTGACCCACCCAGCTATGCAGCTGTCAGTCACACTCAGTCCACCTGTCTGTCCACCTGTCTCCACACGATATTCACCCGTTTGTGTCTACCCACCGGCAGGTTTACCTACCCAGCGCTGGTCATCTCCCCTGCACCCAGTATGGTTAGATACAGGGGGACAGGGGTGAGTAGGGAGCCCACAGCCCCTGCCCATTTCCAGCTCACACCTCAACCCTTTTTCCATCTCCACAGCCCAAGCCCTGTGCCTGACACCATCTACATTTCCTTCCTAACCCAGAATCCCCTGCCTGCCCAGAGCTGCCCCCCCTGACTCTGGGTCTTTGCCCTTTAGGAGACACAGTGCCAGCTCCAGAGGCGCTGGGGACCCCAGGGGATGCGCAGGCCACCCGGCCCTACAAGCAAGAGCCCAGCAGCCCTCCGCTGGTCCCACTGGCACCCCCCGGCACCGTGTCCTGCCCCGAGTGTGGCAAGACGGCTGCGAAGCCCGCACACCTGCTGCGTCACCGGCAGAGCCACTCGGCGGAGAAGCCACACACCTGTCCCGAGTGTGGCAAAGCCTTCCGGCGCAAGGAGCACCTGCGTCGCCACCGGGGCACCCACCCGGGAGGCCTGGGCCCTGCGCTGCGCCAGCTGCCTGCGCGGGAGCGGCCGCACGCCTGCTGCGAGTGCGGCAAGACCTTCTACTGGCGCGAGCACCTGGTTCGCCACCGCAAGACGCACTCGGGCGCACGGCCCTTCACCTGCTGGCAGTGTGGCAAGGGCTTCGGGCGCCGCGAGCACGTGCTGCGTCACCAGCGGATCCACGGGCGCACCGTCAGTGCCCCTGCGGGCACGCAAGGCCCCGGCCCTGGCCCCGACACTGGGGGGCCTTTCCCGGCCTGGCCCCTTGGCTAGGGGACCACTGCCCCCCTGTGACTGTCCTGGTGTGCCCAGGCCATCGTCCTTGGCTGCGGTCTCCCGCCCAGCCCGGCCCTCTCCCAGTTCTCTGAACCCTTCCCGTGTCAACCGTGCGATAGGTGCCCTGTTCTCAGTCCACCCCCTGGCTCTGCCATCTCCACCTCCACCTCCCTGACCCCTTCCTCCCCCACTTCCCCTTCTAAAGGCCGGTCCTGCCCACCCTGCCTCTTCATGGCCCAGCCTCCCCCTGCCCTGCCCGTGGGACAGGGAGCAGAGATGAGGTCTTGGAGACGCCCCCCTCCCCCAGGGGCCGTGAAGAGGCGTTACCCACTGGGCACTCCTTGTGGCCACGAGAGGGGGTTGGACTTGTTCCCAAGATAGAGTGGAGGGGGCACAGCGAGTGATAATCTGGCCAGGTGGGCGTGGCCTGGCGGTCCCGGCTCCCCTTTACCACAGGAAGGAAGGTATGGATGGACTGACGGACAGGGTTAGGGACCCTGGTCAACTGGCCTCCGCAGAGTAATAAAGTCACTGACCGTGTCTCCAGCCCTGGCCTCCAACTGGAACTCTGTCACCCTGAGGGGGAGACCTTTTATACTTTTTACATTTTTCTCAGTGGAAGAAGGCAGACATTTACTTCACCAATTTAATTTCCCAACAATTTCCAGCTACTTTAATCTGGAAAGTCTGATGTTTTTGACTGAAAACAAATTCTTGGCCTCAGCATCCCTTACCTGTGTAATCAATAAACCCACATGCCTTTTGTTTTTTTTTCTTCATGATTTCAATAAAGTTCTCCAAGCTCTGATGGTCCTTTGTCCCTCCACACCCTGTGGGCAGACCAAGCCCCATCTTGCTTGCAGCCTTCCACACACCGCAGTTTGGGTTTGTGAACGTTTCCAGAACAAAGTGCTTGTCCGTTCAACAACTCACACACATTGTAGCTCCTGATGCTGATGGCCACCCCACAACCATTCTTCCTTTTTTTTTTTTAAGTTTTTGTAAATTGAGTGAAAGTTGACTTTAACAGGGCAAACGATCGGTTTTACATTCATTAAATCATATTTTCTTTCATTGCAATGATTATAATCCCCTCCATGTACCATCAGTCAACAGTATTTATCTCGAGGTACTCGTGTAAAACAAAGTACATAGCCATTTCAGTGTCCTGCCCACGGGCACACAGCCTTTCTCAGCCGCTCTCTCTTCCCGTGCCATCGTCTCTGCCACCGTCCCTTTTCAGTTTGGCCCCCTCGCTCCTCTCATGCTCTTCCCCCTTGATGGTCCTAGGGTCCTCTGTTCCTAAAATGACAGATAAACTGCTCCCCCCGTTGTGACACCTTTTGCAGTTGTGTTAGCAATCACAATTGAATCTTTCAATCCTATCCCCATCCTCCCCCACCCACTTTCACCAGACCCTTCTGGGAAAGAGGAAAATTATTCTGAGGGGGTATAACAGAACTAAGCATGCTACTTCTTTCCTTTGTAAGATACACTTTTTTTTTTTTTTTGAAGTAATAGCTACTATGTCCTTGATTTCTTTCCTTTTTTAAGAAAAAAAAATTTTTTTAAGTAATATCTACTGTGTCCCAAATTTCTTTATTTAAGAACAAAATGGTGAGTGATATAGTAATTTAAATGAAGAGCGTCAATGAACATCACCCTCCCTCCAGCCAGTGAGTGACCCCCAAACCTCCTGCCGCCCCCTTTGTTTTCCCAAGTCCTTCCTTTAGTGGCTGGAGAACTTAGAGCTCGAAGCCCTGGTACAAACCCCAGGGTCCTGTTTCCCTAGCTTTTCTCATATGCTGCTCCTCAGAAACCTTATACAGGGTCACTATGGGTTAGAACCGACACAAAGGCACTCAACAACAATAAATCAGCCTGCTGGACAGCACTGTGGTTTGAGGAGTCAGGTGATGATGGTTCAGTGCTGGGAGGTCTGTGGCTATAACCCACCAGTAGCTCCACAGTAGAAACATCTAGCAGTCTGCTCCCATGAGACCACAGCCTGGGAAACCCTGGGCAGGCAGTGGGGGACGGGAGGGACACTTCTCTGTCCCATGAGGTTGTTGAGTTGGAATTGACAGGGGTTTCCTGTCATGGTGTTTCCGTGGTCTGGTTCTCACCTTACATGTGGAGGACGTGGGTTCGATTCCCAGCCGGTGCACCTCGCCCTGCCTAGCCACCACCGTGTTGCTGTGATGCCAAAGACGTTTCAGCGGAGCTTCCAGATGAAGATGCACGAGGAAGCCAGGGCTGGGCATCAGCTGTGTGTGGGGTTGCAATGAGTTGAGGTCAGCTGGGTGATAGCAATAAAGGAAAGCACAAGGCGTGTAGTACTCTGCTTGCCCTTGTGTCCCTGTTGTAGGTGCTGTCCAGTCAGTCCTGACTCAGGACTAGGTGACAATCCCACGGAGCCCCGTTGTACTTGCACGCAGGTGGTGTGTCATGCATTCGAGTCAAATTGATGCCAGTGGGTTTGGGTTTTGCTTTTTCAATAATCCAACGAGGCCAGTAGTATGGCTATCTCCATTATCCCGATGAAGAGGCTAAGGCTTTGCAGGGGTCGAGGGCTGAACACGGCTGCCTCCTTGACCCCGGTCCAAGCTGCTCTATGACTGTGTGGACTCAAAGTCCCGCTGTGCTCAGTTCGTAGCCTCTGACACCATCACCAACTGGTACTTTGCTATGTTTTGGGGGTGAAGATCTAGCATGCTGCTAACAGTGAATGCCCTCAGCTGCCTACAAAAAGGCTGGAGGTTAGGGTTCACCCAGAGGGGCCTCAGAAGAAAGCCTTGGCAATTTATATGCTAAAGATCACCGCCATTGGATTGTACTCGTAAAACTGGTTTGAAAACAAAACAAAAACAGGAAATCGAAGCAAACACTGTTGAATGGTGATTGACGGAGGTGATTGTAGTCATTGTAATGAAATGAAATACCATAGGATGAGTGTAAACCTGATGTTCTTCCATGTAAACGATCACTCAATTCACAATAAAAACTTGAAAATAATTTTTAAAAATGGTTGTAGTGGCAAAAGTTTGCTGTAGATACAGTGCTACAATTTAAAAAAAAGGAAAAGGATGCCAGCCTCATACAGCCGATGGGGGGCAGTTCTACTCTGTTACGTGGAGTCACTCTGTAAAAGGGGGGAAATCAGTCATTGAAAACCCCTATGGAACAGAGTGTGGTGCTGTAGGATAAGCACTGGACTGCTAACCACAAGGTGGGTGATTCAAACCCACCCGGCCACTCGTTGGAAACCCTGTACAGGGTTGCTATGCATTGGAGCTGACACAATGGCAGTTGACATAGAACACTCTGACACGTGAGGGGTCACCGTGAACCAGACTCGACTCAAGGATAACTGGTTAATGGTGATAAGTGGAAATAAAATAATAAACGAGGTAGACGAGAGATTGGCACAGACCAATAATGAAAACAAAGGGATATGGTGACTGAAACCTCTTAATCCGAAGATAAAAATACGCAAAGTCAACAAGTGTCTCCTCCCCCAGCCCTAAAGTCCACCAGGATGAGGTAAGGTGACCTTAAGAGTTCGAAGATGCACAGACTAGTAAATCCATCAGCTTTTTCCACATCTACAGCTCCTTCCATTTACCAGCATTACAGGTCAGAACATATAGATTGTGGTTCTGAAGTCCGGAACGCAACTTTCTGTCTTTCTTCTTTGGTTTGTTGTGTTATTTAGTGCTGTTGAGTTGGTTCCGACCCATAGCGACCCTGTATAGGACTTCCAAGGAACAACTGGTGAGCTTGAACCACCGACCTTGGGGTTCAAACCGACTTTGCAATGCAGCACATTAGCCCACAGCACCACACCAGGACCCCTTTCTTGTTGCTCATCTTATGGAAGCAGAAAGAAAATCACCTCAACACAGGACTCCCTGTTGGGGTCCAGTAGAGGTAAGATGATGTTACTCAATCTCCCCTTGGGCTGGTGTTCCCCTTCACCCCTCACTTTGCCCTTGGTTAAGGGACACAAGCTATTAGAGTTACACAGATGGGCTCCCACCTGTGAAAAACAATCAATTCTCAAAGAAATTGGATCATAAGGTTTATTCCAAACCTTATGTCCACATACACACATAGAGATCATTCTGATCCCCAATAAAAACAAATGGGTTGAGGTAATCTGGTCTCGGAAACCCTATACTGGGCCGCTATGAATCAGGACTGGCTCTCCAGCACACAACCACCACCACCAGTTATAATGAAAATTAAAAAGAAGAAGAGGGAGAGAAATTGATCAAATACTGATGGATTGCACCCTGTCTTTCTCCTTTTGAGATCAGCCTATCAAGTTACTAGGTAACCCCTGTCCTAGCTGCTAAAAAATTTTGGACCCCCACTCACCTGTAGACATTCGACCTTTTGAGATTGAAGTTAGGAGACCCTACCCTAGCATGTTTTTCTTGAATTATGGTATTGGTGAAGAGAACTGAGTGTACACTGACTGGATGGTCAGTACTGAGTGTACGCTGACTGGATGGTCAGTACTGAGTGTACGCTGAATGGATGGTCAGTACTGAGTGTACGCTGAATGGATGGTCAGTACTGAGTGTACGCTGAATGGACGGTCAGTACTGAGTGTACGCTGA